TTTTCACCCAACCTCTAAAAAAAAGAGAATTCAAAATATCTTTCATTGACAATACAATCATAAAAAGAGAAAAATTTACAAAATTTTTAGGAGTCATAATAGATGAAAACTTATCTTGGAGTCAGCAAATTGATAGTATTTCAATGAAAGTTGCTAAAAACATTGGAGTTCTATACAAAGCTCGATATATACTAAATAAAAAGCAACTAACTCAACTATATTATTCATTTATTCATTGTCATATAAACTAAGCCAATATTATATGAGGAAGCGCTCACAAAACCAAACTTAAATCTCTCTATCGGCATCACAAACACGCAGTTCGCATAATTAATTTTTGAAATTTTCTACCTTTTAAATCGTTATATAGATTGTAAAGGGCTTCATGATAAGATCATGTGATCTTCTGAAAGTCCTACCAGTAATATATTCAATGTAAATTTACCTTGTTCATATTTTTCTGGAAAAAAAAAAAAAAAAAAAAGTCTAGTGTGTTTCAGTCTAGTGTGTTTCAAAAAACTTATTAAAAAATGGTAAGAAAATAATTGCTTTTGGAAAATGTCGCTACTAATTTTTTTAATTTTAAATTTTTTTTTAATAACATTTTTTATTTCTTTATTTTATTGTTTATTTGCTTTGTGTAATTTTTATTAAAAATACAAACATTGTAATTTTGATTTTATGCAGACATATTTTTTTTATTTTTTTATTTACATGCCTTTTTTAACTATTTGTTTGTTTGATAACGATATTTGTTTTGGTGTGTGCTGTCCATAAAGTTATATCATATAAATTTTTCAAAAATTTTGCTTTGGAGTTGGAGTCGGAGTCGGAGTTTGAGTCGGAGTCGGAGTCGGAGGTATACTTAAAAAAATTTCAACAACTGGAGTCGGAGTCGGAGTCGTTACTTTTTTTTTACGACTCCACACCCCTGGTTATATGTGTTGATTTTAATTACTTTATGAAAACTAAACTATTGTAACTTATTAACGTTAAATAAATTTTATAATAAAAATAAAATAAAATCGAATTGTAAGGAGTAATGATTGTCAACAATCTCTAGCTCGATCTATAAATAATCTGCGTTATGAATTCTTTTTACTTTACAATATTCATGTTACTATATCATATATTGCATTTAAACAAAAACATTAATTTTTTGGTCGAAATTTTTTTACAAACAAGTTATTATTAAACAAAGGTTACATATTATATTTAAACAAAGGTTACATAAATATATTTAAACACACGACACATTCTTAATTATATAAAATACATTTATATTTCCAAAAAAGTAATGTTTTACCTGTATTAAAACTTTGACTAAAAAATTTAAAAAAGCAAAAATGTCGGTTAAACGTTGGTTTATTTGTAAAATTATTTTAAATATATTTAATATATATTATATATTTTAATATCTATAATTACGGAAAAACGTCCATCTATTTATATGTTCTTGATGCTAGAAATCGTCAGGTAAAAATACATTTTTTTTTATTGTTATATATTTTTATTTTTATATATGTATATATTTTTATGTTTTTATATTTTTATGTTTATATATTTTTATGCTTATATATTTTTATGTTTATATATTTTTATATTTTTATAGAATAAAAAGTATTAAAACTGAACACTTAGTTTTATAATTTTTTTTTTTTTTAGAATTGATTTACAAGATAATAAGATAAGACATTTTTTTGTACAATAAAATTCTTAACTGATTTTATAATTTTTTTTTTGGTAAACGTGTTTGACAAATCCAGCTTTTACAATTTGTACTTTAAAATTGGACAAATTGGTTTTTCAATAAGTTGAAAATGATGTTGTGTTGATTTAGATGGTGTGTTAAGATTTTCTAATAGATTTTAGTTTGTGTAAGTTAAGTTTGAGTAGGTTGAGTTTATGGTCGTTCAAGTGTTTCAGCAATTTGTAATTTAGATTTATTAATTTTCTTTATATCAAGTGGAAACAAACTAGTATCTCCAATTTACCTTGGAGATACTAGAAATTTGTATTATAAACAAACTTTGTATCTCCAATTACTATGTAATCTCCAATTACTTTTAATCGTGTAAGTACTTCAATACTAAGGTTTAAAGCTGAAAAAAACCTTTTTTTGATTAATTGCTGCATAATGTGCTTGCATAATGCTGTTGTAATAATTTTCGTCAAACATTTTTGACATAACATTATACTCCTGCTTTTAATGATTGAAATATGTGGTAGGAGTGAGTAGGTAAACATATTAACTTGATTTTTTTTTATCAATGCAAGTTACAGCAAATTGAAATGTTACATGCGTGTTATGATTATCCAATCATAAGTGTACCTTGACATATTTTAATTTTTGGTATAAATAATTCATTTATCCATTGCATAAATTGCTTATCTACCATCCACCCTAACGGTGTAGTTGTATATTCAGCGTTTGACGGACCACCTAATCACCAACTGCTGTTTTTATTTGTTGTTCACCAGAAAACTCGAAATTTTATAAAATATTTGAACTGTTTTAATATTTACTTTAGAATTTTTTACTGTTTTAATATTTACTTTTGAATTTACTCTAATATTTACTTCTTTCATTTTTGTTTGGAAAAATTTTTTTAGTGCAAGATGCTGTTCTCAATGCTGATATGTTGCTTGCAGCTCTGATGCTCTTTTTGCGTCTCCATCTGCTAATAAAATGATAAAACCATTCTTTTCCAGGTTGGCCATTTTTAAATAAACTGGTTTGATTTGTAACTAACCGTAAATGTAAATAACCGGAACTAAATGTAAATAACCGGAAACATTATCTATAGTTTGGCTTTGTGTTCAACCAAAACTCCAACCTGATAACTTTGCATTTCTACCAATATTAATTTAGATTTGATTTGACAAAAATAATTTAGATAATTTATTTCGGTTTGCACAAAAAAATGATATAAGTAAATTATTTTAAAAATAGGAAATAATAATAATAATAATAATAATAATATAGTTAAAAAAAGTAATATTAATATAGTTTAAAAGTTAATTAAGTTGGTATAAATAATAGTTAAAAATGAAAATTATTTGTGTTTAGTTTTACCCAAAAATATGACATTTCCAACAATATATATATATATATATATATATATATATATATATATATATATATATATATATATATATATATATATATATATATATATATATATATATATATTCTGAAAGAAATTTTTTTTAATTAAAAAAGAAAAGTTCATTTTGTTTGAATGAACTATTAAATATCTTATATTTGGTTTAGGTATTCCGTGCAACAGAAAAATGTTCAAAATCTCTGTGTTTAAGTTACTTCAAAGAACTTAAATGTCGCTAACAGAGTTATTTCTCTGGGAAAAAAAAAGGTATTTGTCTGTACCTGCAAATAACTTATTCATTTTATTACTAAATCTAAAGACTGTTAAGTAAACACTTAATGTATAATGATTTGTTTCCTTTTTAATGAAATATTTTGAATGGCTCCGAGCATGAACCATGTGATATTTAATAAAATGCTTCATTCAAACTATTATAAAATACAACACAACTTTTTAATATGATACCAATAAGTTTAACCGTATTTGGCAAAAACTTAAGGTGGTAGATTCCCTTTTTTTTTATTCTTTTTCTTTTTTATTTTTATTATTTTTATTTTTTTATTTTTTTATTCTTATTAAAAGACCAAGCAGGATTAGTCGAAATTCTAATAATTGAATATTCTTACTACTCAGTTACTTTTCGCATATAAACTCTCTTCTCTTGCTCGTAATCCGTTCATTAAAAACTGTTTTTATAGAGTTTACTAAACTTATAAATTATATAAATAGTCTTTTCGCAACTCCTTTGCGTCATTTAACAATTCCTTGGCGCTGTTTGGTAACTCCAATGCGCTCTTCACTTGTTGATTACTTCACATCATTCTCCTTCTTTTAGATATACCGGTTGTTTAATTTCACTCTTTCCGACTTATGACACAATTATGATCATCCTAGGTACGTCTCTAGAACTGTTCTTAATGACTACTCCAAGTTGTGTGTCTGGAAAAACATTTAAAACAACATCTTCAACTTGAATATCACTTTTCTCAAAGAAAGTTCCAAGGAACGTCTCTAGAACTGTTCTTAATGACTACTCCACGTTGTGTGTCTGGAAAAACATTTAAAACAACATCTTCAACTTGAATATCACTTTTCTCAAAGAATCATGGAACATATTTTCTTGAGTTTAAGGTTTATAGCGATTTCGTAAAAGGTTCTCGAACCCATCTCTTCTAAATATGAAGCACAAGTTCTTAAATTCTACGCAAACTTTTTTTAAGTTTAAATTTTCAGTGTTCAACACTTTCTGGTGCGAATTTACCGCCTACGATATCTTAAAAAATTGATTTGGCATCAATGGTCATCAGTATTCACTAATATGTTAAATGACTTGAGTTGATCAAAGCTCTAGTGAATGCTGTCATAAATTCTTCGTGGTTAATAATAATTTTTTATTTTCTGTTATCTGATCTCTATCAGATAACAGATTACAAGCTGTGTGTCAAAGATAACAGATCACAAGCTGTGTGTCAAAGATAACAGATTACAAGCTGTGTGTCAAAGATAACAGATTACAAGCTGTGTGTCAAAGATCTGGTCCATAGCCAGAGCTGATAATTTAAAGCAAAAAAGAAAGAAAAATCGGGAAAGAGTGACTAACGGAATGCCTTTGAATGTAGATGCTCAGGATTCTGTACTTAATACTTCAAACTCAGTTTAAGTGGCAGTTGTTTTTCTTGAACATGAACTTATCCATCTTGATAGCGTTAATTTGTGTCTTGTTCTGAACAAAATAGTCTTATAAAAAGTAAAAGTTATTTTAGTTGTATAATAAAATTACAATTTCTATTTTTTTATGATTAGTAAAAAATTCTAGAATAGAATATTCAAATTCAAAAAGTTTTTTTATCGTATTTGTTATAGTTTGTGTTAGTTTATGAAAATTACTTTTACCTCTTAATGAAGCAATAAACTCCTTTCTGGAAATGATAGATCCATTTGTCTTGTGCTGTGACTTCTTCAGATTTATATACTTTGTGACATATGCTTTGTGATACGTAATTCCCATAACTGATAACTGAACATCTGATAACTAAACATCTAGACTTCAGAAACGTAAGCATACGCAATCCTAAAATGTATTTATTTTGATACTGCTATTTTACTGTGGTAAATACCATTCTTTTTAAAAAACAAAGAGTTATTATATATATATATATATATATATATATATATATATATATATATATATATATATATATATATATATATATATATATATATATATATATATATATATATTTGATACTGCTATTTTACTGTGGTAAATACAATTCTATTTAAAAAACAAAGGGTAATTATATATTTCGCTATATTTTTAAAATAGTTCTCATTTGAATTATAGCTTTAAACTTAAAGTTATTTGGCTTAAATACACTTTATGTTTTAGAACAAACATCCTACCTGAAACTAACACCAAGCTGGCACACCAAGATATCAGTGAATTTTTGTTTTCTGTACATAAAAAAATCAGAGTTTTATTTTCATCAGAAGACCCCCAGCCAAAAAAATCAATGATTTCATTGATTGATTGGTTGCAACCGGTAAAAGGTGTCAACAAGGGTTACCGGTCTGGCGCAAAGCCTGAAAATAAACCTACAATGATCATTTTTAGTAAATGTCTTTTAAATAATATAAATATTTATTTGTTTAATTTGTGTCCAGTTTTTTTCTTTTCCCGGTATATTACGCAATTTTTTTAAAAAAAGTTTCTTTTGAAATCTGAGGTCAGCGCGAGGTAAAAAAATAATTAAAAAAAAAAGGTTTTGTTTTTTTTTACTATAGTTTCATGACCCAAATTTTGAATACCCCCTGAAAAATTTTGAATAAATTTTGAATATTGAAATTTTGAGTACATGTGTATTTACTTAACTTTTTTCTTTTTGATTGAGTAATAAAATGACAAAATTACTTTTAGGTACGGACAAATACCATATTGTTCAGTAGACGACGGAGAACAAATTCTTCGTTAACTACTACAGCAACATCAACACTTTCCACTAAAATGGTTTCTCGATTAAACACTGAAGTATTTCTATCGTCCTTTACAAAATCTCCTTCTTTAAAAGCAACATATATATTAGCTTTCTCTACTATAATAACTCCACACGAGGAAGATAGTAGTGAACACTTGCCTTCAGACTTTATTATCAAATGAGTAATTGGCATTTCAAACTCTATGCAAAATGTCTTTCTCTATTGTGAAAAAAGCTAGATGTTCCAATCAAGGTGCTACAAAGCGAGGTTTGCAGCACCTTTTTGTTTTAATATGGCTGAAAATTTAAAATGGATGTCACATCACAAAATAATTTATAACTTTAGAGATAAGTATATAGAAATCATTTACTAATGTTTGAAACAAAACTAATTCTGTTACTTTGAATGATTATCAGCAGCGACAAAACGAGTGAGTTTGAAACTTTAATTTCTCACTGAACATAATATCTCTGGACCAGATTTCCTAAGAAATGTTGTTAAACTCCTGTTACTGATAGTGAAGTTTTACAAAATAAGTAATCTAAGAAACAGGGCGTGCTAATGTGGTTAGTGTTGAATAAAAAAAGCGGACCTTATTCTCATCTCTATCGAAAAAAACTTGAATGATTTTGCTGCTATAGTATAGTGCAATAAAAGTCTACTGCAATAATTTTGGGAAAGTAAGTCTAAAGCGACAACTGTTAAATGACAATAAAAATGAGTTTTATTTTCTTTGATTGTTTGTTAAGTGGATTTGTTATTTAATTTATGTTGCTATGTGGTTTTGTTATGCAGTTTATGTTGTTTGTTATGTGGTTTTGTTATGTAATTTATTTTATTTGTTATGTGGTTATCTATTAAAGCATTGCAAAATAATATTTGTTCAGTGTCATAATGCTTATACAGTGTAATCTTCGACCATATAAACTGATAGACATGCCTTACCGTAAGTTAACATTTACAAACTTTTGAAGCCAACATCTTTTAGCGCGTGACGTCACGTTTGGGCATTTAACAATTTATAATATGGGTTTAAGGCGAAAATAACTTGATGTATTTAACACTTTTAAAGCTTTAATATTTCTTAAGTGTATTATTTTGTTGAAATTTTAGTTTTCAAATAGAATATAGGTGTATAAAGATCATGGTTTTATCTTGTTCTGCATATAATTGCACTCAAAGATATACTAAAGGGGTTTCTTTTCATGGGTACGTAGCTAAAATCGTTCTTTGCTAAGATCCTACGTTATATTTTGAATTTTAATAGTATATTAATTTAATATACCTATTTGATATTTTTTTTTGTTGGTAGTTTTCCAAAAGATTTAGAATTGAGGAGAAAATGGATACAAGTTATGCGGAGGGATGGTTTTACTCCTAGTAAACAGTCTAAACTTTGTGGTAAACATTTCACAATTGATTGTTATGAAGGAAGTCCTTGGAGTTCACAAAAGAAACTAAAAAGTGATGCAATTCCTTCTATATTTGATTTTCCAACACGTTTAAAAAAAAGTACTTATTCTAGAAAACCACCAAAAAACAGACAAAGTATTATTTCAAATAATATCACCAATGATTCAATACAGTAAGTCTAATGCAACTAATCCTTTTGCAATGGCATATATTGATTTAAAATTATTAAGTTTACTTTTTGTAACATAATACCTATATATTTTTAGGAACAATAACATTGACAATTATATTATTAATGTTAACAATAACATCACCAATGATTCAATACAGTAAGTCTAATGTAACTAATCCTTTTGCAATGGCATATACTGATTTAAAATTATTAAGTTTACTTTTTGTAACATTATACCTATATATTTTTAGGAACAATAACGTTGACAATTGTATTATTAATGTTAACAATATTATCACCAATGATTCAATACAGTAAGTCTAATGTAACTAATTCTTTTGCAATGGCATATATTGATTTAAAATTATTAAGTTTTCTTTTTGTAACATAATACCTATATATTTTTAGGAACAATAACATCGACAATTATATCATTGATGTTAAAAATAATATCACTAATGATTCAATACAGTAAGTCGAATGTAATTACTTTACAATAGCATACTTTACAATTAATTTTACAATGGCATATATTGATTTAAGCGTTTGAGTTTACTTTTTGTGACATTTAACACCTTTATATTTTTAGGAACAATAATGTTGCAAATTGTCAAATCAATCCGAAAAATAATGGTAAACGGTATATTGGTGATTTTAATGAAAATGATATGTTAATACCAGAAAATAGTAAAAAGTTTTTAAAATTATCTATAAGTAAACTTGCTGCCAAACAAAAGAAAATTAAAATGCTTCAGCAATCCAAGCGTTGTCTAATTAAAAGGATTAAAGACTTATATTCATTCCTTCGTCATCTTAAATCAAAAAGTATGATTTCTGAAGAAATATCAACAACACTAATGGTATGATATAAATTTTTATTATGAGTAGTTGTTAAACGTATTTATATTTGTGACTTTTATATATATTTTTTTTTAATTTAATTATTTTAAATATTTGTTACTTATTTAAGTTATACCTTTAGGATTATTTTGTTTCAGTCAACCTACTGTTGAAAAATGGTTTTAATTTAGTAATTTTTTATGATTAAAAATTTACTACATTAATCATTAGATAACAGTTAGGAAAAAATTTAATTCATTACAATTACGGTAGGAATAGCAATGAATTAATTATTGTATTTGTCACAGTATTAACTGTTGTTATGATTGTAATGCTATTGTAATAATTTGGTGTATGACCCTTTTTTTAATTTTAACTATTTTTACAAGTGTGTGTGTTTGGGTTATTGTGTATCATTTACATAAAATCTGTTTGGCTTTTTACTATGCTATCATCTTGATATCCGAATCAATAATTTTACTTGATTAGGTTATCAAGTATAAATATAATATTGTAACGAATAATATAATAATTTATTTAATCTATTTAATTACAGGGAACTATGTCTGAGTCTACAAAACAGTTGTTTTGTCGGATTTTACAAGGAAAAGTTAAAAAGCATTACCCACCAGAGTTACGAAGCTTTGCTTTAACATTAAATTTCTATTCTGCTAAAGCATATAGTTATGTTAGAAAAACATTTAATAATGCACTTCCTCATCCACGAACTATACAAAAATGGTATGAAAGTGTTGACTGTTCCCCTGGATTTAGTAAAGAAGCTTTAGTTACTCTTCATAGCAAAGTAAAAGAGGCTCAGAAAATTGGTCAACGTGTTGTTTGTTCCTTGATGCTAGATGAGATGGCTATTAGAAAAAAAATTGAATGGACAGGTCATAAATTTTCTGGTTTTATTGATTTTGGTGCTGATGTTAATAATGATAGTTTACCCGAAGCAAAAGAAGCCTTAGTTTTTATGGTTAACTGTGTTAATGGACGTTGGAAGCTTCCTGTTGCATATTTTTTAATTGATGGTTTAGGTGGTTTTGAAAAAGCTAATATTGTTAAACATTGTTTACAGTTTATTTATGAAAGTGGTGCAGAAATTATATCGCTTACATTTGATGGAACGGCTTCAAATATTAGTATGGCAAATTTTTTAGGATCCAATATTTCTATTGAAAACATGAAGACTTGGTTTCCTCATCCTATATCAAATCGTCCAATACACATTTTACCTGATCCTCCGCACATATTAAAGCTCATACGAAATGCACTAGCAAGTAGACCAGCAATTTATGATACTAATGGGAATCCTATAGAGTGGTCATACTTGCAGAAATTAGTAGATATACAGAATAGTGAAGGTCTGCATATTGCTACAAAAATTAGAAATCGACACATTGACTGGGTACAGGAAAAAATGAAAGTGAAAATTGCAGCTCAGACTTTAAGTTTAAGTGTGGCAAAAGCATTAAAGTATTTAAGACAAACAAACCACCCTTTAAATTTTAAGAATAGTAAACCAACTGAAACTTTTGTTACTAACATTAATGATGCATTTGATATTTTAAATAGTCGGAATTTACTTGCAAAAAATTTGAAGTGCGGCATACAAAATTGGAACAAAGAAAAAATATTTTTACGCATTGATCAAATAATTGAATATCTGAAAAGCCTTAGAGAATTACCAGATGGACAATTTATGTGTACATCAACAAGAAAAATTGGTTTTCTAGGTATGATAATTAGTCTGAATTCTTTGAAGTCAATTTATAATGAAAATGTTAATAGCAATCAACCGATATTAAAGAATGTTTTAGCATATAAATTGTCCCAAGACCATCTTGAAGTTTTTTTTAGTGCTATTCGTAGTTGTGGTGGTCATAATAACAACCCAACAGCTCGCCAATTTGAAAGTGCATATAAACGTCTTTTGATTCATTGTGAAGTGACTGGTTCTCAAAATGCAAATTGCTTAGATCAAACACCAATATCAATTTTAACTGTAAGTAGTAACCAAAAGTCTCAAATTATACCATCGGGAATACAATGTTTAAATGCTAATTTACAGGGTGATATTGATATTTTTGAAAGTCAGTCTCATTTAAATGACCATGCTTATTATAAGCTTCCAGAATTTGAAACGCTATCTTTTTATGTTGTTGATGTTGTAAGCTATATTGCTGGGTTTGTAGTTTGTAAAGTTAAACAAGTTGTAAAATGTAATCCTTGCATTTGTGCCTTAACTCTGGATGAAAATACTTCTACACTTGTGACACTGAAACAGTATACCTTAAATTCAAAGACTGGCCTTATAAACGCATCAACTGATGTTATTTATTTATGCAAGTTGGCTGAAACAGAATTTAGAATATTAGAGCAAACAGGTAGTTTAAATAAAAGGAACGTAATGGAAATATTAGTGGTCAAATGTTTGCGTAATATGCACAAATCTGTTTTTAGTTGTTTGCATGATCATATGTTTGATGAAGATCCTCAAGGTAATCATATAATATCTTTAGTCAAAATTATTCTTGCTAAATATTTAAAGATACGATTGCACCACAAAGCTGAATCGATCAACGAATTGCGACATAATAAACGTATACGAAGTGTATTAACAAAACAAATTTTATTTTCAAATCAATAAGAAGTTATTTTGTATATTAATGTATTAACTGTAACGTTTTCTATTTTAAGAAATCTAAGAATGCATTAAAAGTTCATACAAATATAAATTTTAATATTATTTAAAAAAAAAATATTACATTTAGAAACAAAATAAAGTTTTAAGAAAACGTTTAATGTAAAATTTTTCATAATAAGTTTAATATTATTTAAAAAAGTTTTTAAATAATATTAAACTTATTATAAAAAAATTACATTAAACGTTTTCTTAAAACTTTATTTTGTTTCTATCGCGTTTTGTTTTGCCCAAACGTGACGTCACGCGCTAAAAGATGTTGGCTTCAAAATATTAAACTTACGGCGTGTCTATCAGTTTATATGGTCGAAGAGTGTAATAATGTACATTTACACCGTGTAGTACTCATACTTAATACACATACTTAATTGTAATGTATTAAAGCATTGCAAAAGTAGATTTATACAGTGTATAAATGTTTAATCAATATTTTACAGGCGTATACATCACTTTTATTTGGTATTCACTATTTAACCCTTTTAATGTGCACATTTATCCAAATTTTTTAATGTTGTTTTATGTTGTTCTATATTGTAATCAATTTGGTTAACAGTTGGTTGTTAAACGTTGTATTTTTTTTTCAATCAAGTTAGATTGAATACTGACCAACTCTGTAATTTCATTTATGCTGGGCTTTTTTCTAGCGCTCTGTATATGGTTTATTGTGTAATCATTTTTAACCTACCAAATCTTCTTTTCTAATTTAGTAATAAAATAATAATGGACAAAGCTCACCTTATTTCCAGTAATGTCTTTGGTAACATAAAGTTCCATCTTTGAGCATGTGTTGTTTTTTATCCATATAAATGATCTTCCTGATAACTTAACATGTAAAATGATTTTATTGTTAATTATTAGTTTTATTTATTATTTATTTCTACCATAAACTCCAGTCTCCACAAAAGTTTCCAGTTAGTAGCAAACAACAGGAGGCCAATTTTGCATTAGACTACGTTTTTATAAAAGCTTGGGGCATGCAGTGACTGGTAAATTTTAACCTAAAAAAAAATATTTTTTTTACTTTAAATAAATATTGCAATATTGGTAATATTTGCCGAAATCACTGTAGAATGTGGCGCCCCACTTGACTCAATCATGCGTCCTGTATCATTTAAAGTTTGTTATAGTGATGTATTAAAAGAATCAAACACTATGTCTACTCTTGTCGACAACACCAATTTATTTTATGCTCACAGTAACATTAGCACTGTGTTTAAAAACTTTTACCTTTTTTTTTTTATTTTTATCTTTTTTTTTATTTTTACCATTTAGTCACTGCAAATTTATTACGTTTGCTTTGAATATTTTTTTTTTAACTAATATATTTTAACAAATTTCAACTTTTTATTTATTATTTTTTTATTTTATTTTTTAGTTCTTCCTTTGTTAGAATTTTATCTAGGTTTGACTGCGGCTTTAATATGACTTAAAAAAAGTAATATTTTATGATTCAAAAGTAAGAGAGAGATAAAACTAATTTATTCAACATTAGGGAGAGATAAAATTTAACCCGATTAAAATTACAATTTTTTTTGTTTACTAGTAACACTGAAAAACGAGTTTTAACTGTTATTTATTGTGTTATTTTATTGTGTTATTAGTTATTCATTGTGTTATTTGTTAGTCATTGTGTTATTTGTTGTTTAATGTGCCGCATTGTTGTAATTTACATTTCAACATTTTATAATTGTAATTGACATTTTAATATGATCATAATTTTTCAGTAACTTGTGTAAATCTTTATTTTCGATACAAAATTTATTTATCACAAGTCGGAAATTATTTCGCACAGCTATATTGAGGGTGCTTATTTATAAGCACCTTCAATAAAGCGCACAATTTTGATGTTAGCGCACAATTATGATGTAAATGACTTTGACAACAATGTAAACATATGTATGTCTCTAAAATTAAACATAAAAAAAAATAAGATAAAAAAAGTTTTATGATGTGTTCTAAAATTTGTAGAACACAACAGACAAGTCTAACGGTGTTTTTTTAAAACTAATGTTTTACCTAATATATATATATTTTTTTTGTATAAAGACAACTTTTTAACTTTAAATTGTTTTTACCAATAGGTTAGTGGGGAGAAGAAACAACCCAATAAACTTTAATCACTGCGCCATGACTGTGGCTGCACAAAAAAATGTTTTATACCATGAGATAATCCCAAGCACGCACACTACGTTGAGCTATAGCTGAAACAGCTTTAATAGCTGAAATGTTTTTACCTTGTTACAATGTTCAAATAATATCTAAGAATACTATAATGAAAAATAACTAACTAAAAACTAATTAATTCAGTAATTTTATCAAAACTAAATATAATAAACTCCATGAGCATTTGATAATTGGAAGCAGTAATATAGTAATTAATTCAATGTTTCATTCAAAACGCCCTATTTCGAACAAGGAGTCTATCCTGATAAACTAAAAGTTGCAAGGGTGATATCAGTCCTAAAATCTGGTAATCTAACATGGTTCTTAAATTACAGATATACCTGCATACTGTCACATTTTTTAAAACTATTATAGTATAATATATATAAAAAGTTTTACCATTTTAAATGATAATAACATTCTTTATAATGAACAATTTAAGTTTGAAAAAGGTCAAGGTCTACAGATCAGACCATCTTTCACTTTGTTATTAATTTTGTTAAATCACTTGATGAAAATAAATATACTTTTGTTTTAATGACATCAGCAAAACCTTTGACACGCTCAATTACTTGTATATAAAAAAGATCACTTTACTGATTAGGCAATCTTTCACCTTGTTAATAGTCTTAATCAATCACTTGATAGAAATAAATGTATTTTAGGTGTTTTAATAGCATCAGCAAAACTTTTGACTCGCTCAATCATTTTATTTTATTACTTAAATTAGAACTCTACGATATTAAACATACAAATTTTGAATGGTTTCAGAGCTACTTATTAAATAGACAGCTATATATTTCTAATAAATGTTGTTAATAAAAATAATAAAAGTTTCTCTTATTTTTGCTGGAAAATTAACAATATGAATGGAACTGCAATAAACAAAACACATTTCCATTTTAAACTTAAAAAACCCAAAAAAAAACAAATTTTGTATTGGGTTACGCGATTTAAAAAAAGTTTCTTTAACTCCTCCTTGTAAAAAATGTCATACAAAAAGATCTCATAGAGTGAGATTCTATCTTCCAGATAAAACCTTAAAAAGCGTTCATTGGCCTAATATAAAAAGTATTTCTAGGTGATATTTGTTTTTCTAATTTTTAACAGTTATTAATTACTTGTTTATAACTAAATTTTATTGAATAAATAACTTTTATAAAAAAAATAAAGTCATACGGTCTCATCGTAATATGCCAGATATTAAATAGAAAATTTTATTTTCTGACTAAAGGTTCTAGTTTGCTAACATAAAAGAGTGTGCAAAGGGTAGGAGATATAGTGCTTCATATCCAACTTCCTATACACTGGCCCTGAGTAAGGAAAACGAGTGTTTCAGGCACTCTCTTTTTTTAAAAACTTGGGATACCTGAAAAAAAAGGTTATAGCCAATTGTTTTCAATATTACACATTTCACTTATAACTTGTTTTTTATGGACTTTCTAAAAAGGGGTGCCTAAAATACATTTCCGCTCTAAGTAAATTAAAGTTCATTATAATACGTCAATTTTAATAAAGTTCGTTTTAATACGTTTAAATTAAAGTTCATTTAATACGTCATTAAAAAATACTGCAGATGTGTGCATTTACTAAAACAAATTTATTTAAATAAAAAATAACCAATGACTTGATTGTCGGTCTCAGAGGTATGGCATCGGGACTTAATGCAATATCCCTTGGCTACATTTCTTTTAAGAAGTTAAATTAAGTTTGTTTAGATTATATTAAAGGTAAGCTGATATATCCAAGATATGCAATATATCAAATGTAAGCTATTTTACACGTCCCAACTAATATTAACAAAAATATAAAATATACTGAACACTTACAAAAGAAATACTTATCGTCTTCTAGTCTTTGTGTTCAAAATTATTAAAAGTATTATTCCTAAAATTTTTATTCGCTTTTTAAAATAAATAAGATTAAGTACACAAACAAATATTCAAAAAAATACCTTCAGCCTAAGAGTTGTGGTAATTGAGATTAGAAAATTAGTGGCAACTAATTTTCTAATTTCATTAATTTTGATTAATTGAGATTAATTAAAAGGAATAAATTACATACTTATGAACTTAAAACATTAACAAGAGTTAAAGTATTTTAGGCAAAATTGAGACAGAGATTACTAATGGAAAACATACTGCAAAACTATTTCCAAGTTTCAGTGAAACAAGCTTATGATTTATTTATTTTTTATTTTTTATTTTTGTGTGTGTGTGTGTTATTTAGGTGCCCCAAGAAGACCTAACGGGCTTGTCACAGAAAACCGCAGAAGTGCGTTTAACCAGGAAGTTCACGCCTTCTTCCTTACCGTGACGCAAAAATTTGTCTATAGCTCGTTCTGAATTTTTATTATTTAATCATAAATGAAAAGTATTTTAGCGTATATTCTGTTTAAAAAAAAAAATTTAAGTTAATAGTTACTTTTTATATTGTTACAATATTTATGTCTTTGTTTTTTTTCTTCTTTTGTTCTTTTATTTGTGTTTTTTGCTACTTGAAATTTATTTTAATAAATAAATTTAAAATTTCTCAATTTTAATTTTAAATTCACATTCTAAAACTTTTTTAAATATGTTTTGAATTTTCCTTTATATCAAAATTTGTTCTTTTTTATACTCACGGAATTTGGTTTTTGTTTTGACAATAAAGCGTACAAGATCTTCTTTTCTTCCATTCTCTCGTTCTTTCTCTCTCTCTCTCTCTCTCTCTCTCTCTCTCTCTCTCTCTCTCTCTCTCTCTCTCTCTCTCTCTCTCGATATATACGATATATAAGATGCATTTAAATCATAGCCAAACAAATACAACGATAGATATTGAACACAGATCAGTGATTTACTTAAATTAGCTTTTTTAATATTTCTATATATAAGTTTATTTAATTTATTTAATAAAATTTTTTTATTTGTGTAAACACTTTCAGCATTTAAGTGTAATTATTCTACGTCATCTAATTCTTTAATAGAAACGTTTTCGCAATTGCTTCTATAAATTGCTGAATATCCACGTTTTTGCGTATTTACGTAGATATTATACCTTAAGAAATTTTTTTTTTTTTGTTTTCAGAAGGATAACACTTAACTTTTTCACGTCCTGACTTTTAATGAGATAATGAAATTGAACTAAATTAAGAATCTGAAGTATGCAGAACTCAAATGAAATCCTTGAACAACTTAATTCTTCTTGTTCTTTGTTTGTTTTCCTTGCAATTTTCATGTCTCGATTTAAAAACTTTATATTCAATTAAACTGGCCAAACTGATGATTACAAGTGTAACATATTAGAATAAAAAAACAAAGGAATTTTTAGTTTTGATTATCATTTTATAAAATGCGTTGTAAAAAAATACTATTACTGCATTATACCAAAAATATAACCGTAACACTTTTTTTTTTTTTTTTTTTTGCAAATAAAATTGTTTTTGTTAGTTATTATAAATAACCATTATTTTTCTAAAATCGTTATAAAACTTTAGCGCTTCTGAGACCAGGTTGATATAGTTAAAGAGAATAAAATTCAGTTGATATATGGGACCTATCTCGTGTGATGATACAGGGTGACTAAGTGTGAATGATTATAGGATGACCGTTTTCAAAATAAAAGTGAAACAGTTTTATGCAAATGAAACTAAACTTTTAGTTATTTTTATTATACTGTCCAACAATCATTTGATGCACATTTCGTTACTATTTTAATCCCTTTTCTTTTATCTATTAAGTATTTTGTTATACTGCATTCAAAATATTTTGCGTGTTTATCTTGAATTGTTTGCCCTTTTGTTAAAACAGCTCCCCTCAATTGTACTTTAGACAAGAAAATTTTAATCAAATTATCTAAATTATTTATAAAACAGTTTTATACTTTGAAATCTTAGTTTCTTTTTTCTAGTTCATATATTTTTTCTAGTTCAACAAAATTAATTAAAAGACAAATTATTTCTTAATTTAAAAGTCTATTTTGATTCTTTTAAATTGTCTCGAAGTATGTAAAAAAATTCAAAATTGCATTAAAAAACCTATTTAAAAATACTTTATTAACTTACAATCTTGCAATGAGCGCGGATAAACATAATAGCCAAATCTTACTTGGTTTGTCTTTAATAGCTACATCATTTCGGTCACAAAATACCAACGCGTTAATGTCTGCCCAATTTTAAACTGGAAACTTTCTATACAAACTGTTATGAATTTAATTAGTCTGTTCAACAGTTGTCTTGTACTCACTTTTGTTTAACTACATAAAAAATAAAACTACCCTTTCAACTACCAAATTGATCGCTAACTACATGATTGTCCCTTCGATCTTGATACAACAAACAAACTATTTTAACGCCTTGTGTTTTATTGATTCGGACAAAATTAACTTTAACGAAACTCAAGTTTTCAAATATTTGCACTCGAAATTGAATTTGTTTATTTAGATATTTATTTTTGACATGTTATAAAAAGCTATTGTATTATTTCACGATTAAAAAGCTTGTTACGATAATAATGTAAAAAAATAGATAATGTTTTTAATGTAAACTTTAAATAGTTTTTTTAGGATAACTTTTATTAATCCCAGAAAAAAACTTTGGTTGTTTAGCAAAGTTTTTACCTGGGTCCGTCTCTAAAAATAAAATTATGAGTATCAAGCATATTCTAAGTTAATATTTCTATAATACGAAGCAATATTTAGTATTTGTTGCTCTAGATACGGCAAGGAACTTGCAATATAAACAATTGTTTTGTTAGTTAATTAATTTGGTGTATTTAAATACACTAAATTTTCGAACTTACTTTAGCCTTTAAGATAACATCTTTAATTTACACTAGCGTTACTATTGACGACAATAATACCTGCAATCTGTAAATGAATATTTATTTATTTATTTTTTTTTTTTTTTTGTCGTTTTACACATTTTACAATGTTATCTTTAAATTCGAATAAATATATATATAATTACAAGCTGACAGGGGCAAGTAGAAGACATAAAGTCTTATCATCAAGCCCTTTTGTGAAATAGAGAAATATAAAATTTCTAAAATTCCAATAATATAAAAAAGAGTTAAATTAAAAATTTTGAAAAAATAAACAAACATTCAAACAAAATTAAAATAAAAATAAAAAATTTAAAGAGTTTGAAATAAAGTAAAAAGATTGAAAAAAATTAAAAAGTTTAAAATAAATTAAAAATTAAAAAAAGTAAAAAATTAGAAAGAAAAAAAAATAATAATAATAATAATAATAAAATCTCGAAATAAAAAAATAAAAATGTATACAATGCGTAAATTAAAAAGTTTGAATTTTTTTTTACAAATCAGAACATATACGTATACATATTCAATACAAAGCGAAGTATATATTCAAAAATATTTATATATTAAAAAGATTCCAAACGTTATGTAGATTTAAATTCATTTGTTAGTATTTATTAAAAAAAGTAAAAAAAAAAACAGTCAAAGAGAAAATCAAACAAGAAAGATATATATGTATATATATATATTAAAAAAAAAAATAAAAAAAAAAAAAAAAAAAAAAAAAAAAAAAAAAAAAAAAGCTTTTTATCAAATTAATCAAAAAAATATTATTTTTAAAAAAATGAAAGAATGTATGTAATGTTTGAGTTTAGTAAGTGTTTTTTTATAGTTCTTTTGAATATATCAATAGATTTTATTTTTTTCATATTTTCGTCAAGAACTGACTTCCACAAGCGTGGCCCCCGACATGTAATTGAGAAGTCAGATTTTTTGAGTGATGTTGATGGGATGTAGTAATTATTTATTGAGTGTCTTGTTTCATATTTATGGTTAATTAGAGAGAAACCTTTATAAAAATATTTTGGAATTAGTTCATTTTGAAGTTTAAACATAAATAACAAGTTATGGTATATATTTAGTTCGTATACGTTTAGCGCATTAATTTCCTTGAGTAACGGCTTGGCACTTTCGTACCTATCTGCGCCCAAAACTAATCGACTTGCTTGCTTTTGTTTAGTATAAATATTTTTTAGGAAAGATGAATGATTGTTTGCCCAGGCAATATTACAATAGTTAATATGACTATGTATAAATGAAAAGTATAAGTTTTTTAAACATATTTTATTCAAAAGATGTTTTGTCCTGTACATAATCCCCACAGTCTTTGAAACTTTGTTCTCAACTAACTTTATTTGGCTTTTCCAATTTAAATGTTCATCGAAATTTATTCCTAGTATTTTCATTGAAAAAACTCTTTTTATTTTAATATTGTTAATTGTTAGTTCTGGAAGTTTAAGTGGAAGGTTCTCGGATTGAGATGGTTTAGCAAACAAAATATATTTAGTTTTTTCAATATTTAATGATAGTTTATTTGCTATAAACCACTCATTAAGATATATTAGTTCAGCGTTTACATAATAAAAAATATTTTTTAAATTTGAGTCAGAAAAGAAAACATTAGTGTCATCAGCAAAAATAGTATAATTAAGTATTTTTGAAGACAAAAAAATATCATTGATATAAACTAAAAACAATAAAGGTCCTAGTATTGATCCTTGTGGAATATTCTCGTGAGAAATTTATTCGCTTTTTTGTACAGCGTACAATGGGTTAGAATTATGTAGAAATGGCAAAACAATTAATGGGTTTATTATAGAGATATAATAAATGTTTATAGGGGTTGTTGGGACCATGGAGTTTATTTTTAAACGACATTTTAAGTTTAGAGTGGTTACGCCGATGGGTTTTAGGGGTTGTCAATGGTGGTCATGAAATGTCTCTATGGTTTTTCAATTAGGTGGTACATGTTTTATTGCAGTCAGAGAATTTAAATTTGGGCATATTAGGTCGGAATATTTTAGGTCGGAATATTTTAGGGTTGGAATATTTTAGGGGTCCTAAAATATTTTGATGGTTTTTCAATTAGATGGGGAATGTAGTATGTCTAAATATAGATAATTGCGGTCAAGAAATTTAAACTTATGCAAATTCGGTCTTGAGAACGAATCATGACCGCTCAAATATTATTTGTAGGAGTGATCAAGGGTACTCTTTTTTTTTTTTTTTTTTTAATATTTTAGTTTACATTTGTTAGTTCGTTTTTAAAATATAATGAGAGTAAATAAAAAATCAATGCAAATTATAAAGTAAGCAAATACTACTAACATTAGAAAAACTAGGTATCTGAAAGAAGATCAGTAAGATCTTATCGTCAGAACCTTATACTAGTGTAAACAAAATATTATATTATAAAGTAACTATAAGTACAACAAAATAAAAATAAAATATACATACATATATCACTTTGTAGTATATATAATAAAGTTTAATAAATATTTCCATAATATAAATATTATTGTCAAATTTTGGTAATACGGGAGAGAAAAAGATTTTTCAGCTTAACTTTAAAAAGATGCAAAGAAGTAGGTAGATCAAAATTAAAATTAGGCAAAACAATTTTGTTCCAAAGATGGGGTGCACGATAATCAATGCAAAATTGGTTATAACTTGTTCGACAAAAAGGCTCATATAGAAGGTTGTTATTTCTTAGAGAGTATTTATTGGAAGGTTTCAAAGTAATTAAATCATTAAAAACGGCAGGAAAAAGATTGTTTTTACGTATATATACAAAGCATAAAATATTAAAAATATTAAGTTCGTAAATATTAAGTATTCTCATTTCAGAAAAAAGATGTTTAGAGTGAGAAAAACGATCAGCAAAATTAATTACACGTATTGCATGTTTCTGAAGGCGATAGAGAGATTGTAACTTACTTTTTTCAGTGCTTGCCCAAGCAATATTCGCATAATTCATATAGCTATGAATGAATGCATAATAAAGTTGGGATAAAACTTTTTTATTTATATAGATTCTGGCCTTATAAAGAATTCCAATATTTTTTGAAATTTTAGTACCAACATAATCAATATGTTGCTTCCATGTGATGTTCGCATCAAGGAATACGCCTAAAATTTTTGTGGTGCAATCTCTTTTTATTTCAATATGGTCAATAAAAATATCAGGTAGAGTTGGGGGTAAATAACGTTTTTTAGTTATCGAATGAAAAAAGAATCCATTTTGTTTTTTTAATATTTAGGGTAAGTTTATTGCATTTGAACCAGCTAGAAATTATTTTGAGTTCTCCATTCATAGTAGTGAAGAGTTTATTAATATTGTTATCAGATAAAAAAAAATTAGTATCATCCGCAAACATAATACTTAAAAGATTAGAAGCTTTATGCAAGTCATTAATGTATATTAAAAAAAGAAGTGGCCCTAAAATTGATCCTTGCGGAACACCACATGTAATATCTAAAACATTTTTTTGATAAGGATCGTTAAAACCCAGTGGGCATTTCGACGTCGAACGAACGTCGAGCGACGTCGGATCTCGACGTCGGATCGACGTTGGGTTTACGTTGGAAATGGAAATGTTATTTGACGTCGGATAAACTGACATCGTGCGACGTCGGTATTCCGATGTAAATCCAACGTGTTTTTTGAAAACTAAAATACGTCGCCTTTAGCAGAAATCGAACCTCGGTCTATTAGATACTAAATCCTACGCGCTTACCACTACACCACAGGATCATATTAAATGAAGTGTTTATTTAGTAATCTATACTTGTAGCTATTTGGGAATTATTACTTTGATAAGAAATAATTTTTTTAAATATTATATAAATATTAAAACGAATAGTTATATATTATAAAAAATGTATACTCGAAAATGTTAATAGTTAAAAAAACTATGCTAGTGCATCATACAAAACCTCATGATGTTTTATCAACCATTATTCAAACTTTTTTCCATTAATAAAAAAACACGCTTAGTTACATTAGAGAGCCTATATACTCAGAGAGCGGACATGCGGAAAATACCGAAGAACGGCGGCCATGTTTTTGCCAAACTAGCGTATGACATTCACGAATTCAAGTAAAAACAATTGAAAGAAAATGAGCACAATAATATTTTAAACAGAATATATTTTTAAAAATTAAACCTTTTTATGTTTTATTTTTTCAAAATTATTTATTTATTTAGGAAATACCTTTAAAAAAAAACACAGCAAAAAAGTAGTTGTAATCAATAAGTAATTTGAAAAAAGTTTTACAGTTTATTTTATAAATTAGTTGAACCTAAACCTTTAGTGCAAATGCATGCATTGTTATACTCTTGCTGCCAAGTTCACAAGAACTTTTTTTAGTTTTTTTCTTTTTACATAATAAACACTTTTTTTAAGGTTAAATATTTTAAGTTTGAATGTTATAAACCTGTTTTTTAGCTTCAATTTAATTTGATGACAACTAGGATACAAAGCTAGACTTTTAATTTGTTCATCAGAATTAACTCTCTCTAAAAGCATAGTATTACAATTCTTTTGGGAATTAAGGTAT